CTTTCTCACTCTTCTCTCTTCTCTCTCTTTCTCACTCTTCCCTCTTCTCACTCTTCTCCTCTCTCTCTTTTTCTCTCTTTCTCACTCTCTTCTCTCTCTTCTTTCTCTCTTTTCCCTCTCTCTCTACTCTCCTCTCTTTCTCTTCCCTTTTCTCTCTCTTTCTTTTCTCTCTCTGAAAACTCTCTGAGGAGGAATATTCGTGCTGCAGGTGAGAAACATCAGCTCATCAGTCGGTGAAGAAAAATAAACATTTTTTCTTTAACTTTGTCTAACATTACAAAACTACGGCTCGGTGACATCACAAGGTGGAACAGAACATTTTGAAACCTGAAAAAACAGTAAAAACATTATTATTATGGGATGGAGAGGATCGTGGTGAGCTGCTGTAACTGTGTCCGGTCACCAGGGGGCAGCGGAGACTTTCATTCCACAGGCAACAGGTCGCGTGTTCAAAATAAATATTTCTTTTACCATCTGAAAATGTGGTTTTGCACAGAAACCTTTTGTCATTATAATATTTATTTGACCAACAGATAAAATTATTCAAATATTTAAGAATGTTAAACTTTAAAGGTGCACTGTGTAACCTTTCTGCTTCTCATAATCACCATGTTATTTTTATTTAGTTTAGTTTAGTTTTATTTTATTTTGTTTTGATTTGATTTGATTTTCATTTTATTTTTTATTTTAATTTTAATTTTATTAATTTATTTTATTTTATGTATTTTTATTGTATTTATTTATTTATTATTAATTTATTAATTTATTTATTTATTGCCAGTAATTTTCCACAGAAAGAAATTAAACTTATCCATTTCCAATTTACAGGTCAGATCTGTGGAGATGCTCACAGTAGAAATGCATGTTCTTTTTTTTTTTTTTTTTTTATAAATACAAGATAGTTTGACATGTTTAAAGGCACACTGTGGAACATTTTGAGCAAAGGAATAACATCTCCATGGAGACAGGCACTAGAACACGGCACATTTCTCTGATCTGACCAAGATTTTAAAACTTATATCAGGTTATTCATCTTGTTTTCAGATTTATTATCGACTTACTGGACCAGAAACTGCTTCATTCTCGTCTAGACGTCGTTTATTTTAAGAGAACTCGTCGAGTAAAATGATCTCGCTGCATGGACAAATAATTTCACTACTTTTAAGTCATTTTCTGATCGATTTAAATGTTTATATCTTAAATTTTGTCCAAGCGGTGAAAGTAGTGCCCATTAAAAGTCTAATATTGACTCTTGTGAGCTTTAAGTCGTCAAAATCAGAGCTGGAGTTGTGTTTTGTTTCGTTCACATGTTTGAGTAACTCTTTTTTATTAGTCTGTCTACGTCTCCAAATCTCGAAATGCTCTGTTCCACCTTGTGATGTCATGATGCGGTAGTTTTCAGCTGCTTTGCCCTTTAGTTTTGTAGAGATTGTTGGACAGAAATGATCCAAATGAGGATTCTAGTGAAAGTGTGTGCAGTTTTGAGAGAAAAACTCAGTCTAAATGTTCAGGTTTTGTGAGTTAAACAAAACAAAATAAACAAAACACAACTCCAGGTTTGTTTGTGACGAGAAAAACGACATTAGAAATCAGAAAATAGCGTTAATAAAGACGAAAAATAGCGAACTAATAAATAACAAACTAGTAATTCCCTGAACATTTGTTAATATTTGTTAATTGTTACTAAAATATCAGATTCTAGTGAATGTGTGTGGAGTTTTGAGAGAAAAACTCAGTCTAAATCTGCAGGAAACATGAGTAAAAGAAACAAAACCCAACTCCAGGTCTGTTTGTGACGAGAAAACGACATTAGAAATCAAACATAGCGTTACTTTGGACTCTTTAAACACTTGATAATAAGGTGCCATAATAAACAGCAAACTAATCATTACCTCACCCTTTGTTAATATTTATTAACTGTTTCTAAAATATCAGATTCTAGTGAAAGTGTGTGCAGTTTTGAGATAAAAATTCAGCCTAAATGTTCAGGTTTTGTGTGTTAAAACAAGTGTGAATGAAACAAAACACAACGCCGGGTCTGTTTGTGACGAGAAAATGACATTAGAAATCAAAAATAGTGTTACTTTGGACTCTTTAAACCAGGAGTGTCAAACTCATTTTGTTCCAGGGGTCGTGTCCAGATCAGAAAACTCATGTCATATAAACCCCAAAAGTAACAATAATCAAATATTTGTGCAGAGAAACACAAATCTATTCCAGAAATCTTTTTTAATTGATGAACTCTTTCTTTTATAAAATATTATAATATTATGAACAACCTGGAACTTTAAGAAAAATACAATTTCAACACAAAGTTTTAACATGAACTTGTCTGTAAACAGGAATAAGTCAATTTTTCTTGTAAAATCCTGCACTCGGCTCCACTTTTCTCATGTTGGACATTTTTCTGATGAGGGTGTCACGGTCAACAGTCAAAACGATCGTCCTTTAAGAGCGTTTGGAAAGAGACAAGTCTTCATTTGTGCTGCTCTGGTGGGAG